AAAAAATATTTTTTTAAAGTTCGATTGCAGAAAAAAACAACCCCTCGATTGCGGAATATATGACTTCAGCAACAGAGTGGTCAATGCCTGGAATGCACTATCCGACTGTGTTGTTACATTCCCCAAAATTTCAACCTTAAAACTGTCTACCGTGGACCTCACCCCATTCCTAAGAAGTCTGTAAAGGGGGCGTGCATAAGCGCACCAGCGCGCCTACCGTCCCTGTCCTACTGTTCCCATCTATTTGTACTCATTCCTTATGTATATACGTACACCTGCTTATACTTATATGTTTATATGTTATGTTCATACTTGTTTTCTCATACATGCTTGACAAAGCAAAATAAATAAATAAAAATAAAATAAGCTGCGTTGGGGAAGCAAAAAACAATAATACAATTGTAACAACGTGTGCATTTTATTTTAGAGGATTTCTGGCTACAAGAAAGAGACCCACCCAAGGCTGGCATCAGATTAGAAAAAGGGGGGCAAACAGACAAAACAATCGATTGAAAGGTATCCAATCCGCCCATCTCTTCCCCTTTCGAGGGTGGCTAGTTCGAGGGCGCTTGCGCACGGCGAAAGCTGGGCGGGCTAATGGGCGGAAAGCGCGGCGAGGTTCCTCCTTCCCAGCCGCGAAGCCCGCTTCCCTTTTCCCCGGGAGGCTCCTGCCGCTGCCGCTGCCGCCGCCGCCGCCAGCATGTCGGAGAGGCTCAGCAAGCCGACGTGCCTCATTGTGGCCAGCGCTGCTGCTGCAGGTGAGGCCTCTGGCTCTGGTCCTCCCCGTCCTCCTCTTCGGCTCTTCCGGGCGCTGAACGGAAAGGCGAGGAGGGGGTTGGTGGTGTTGAGAGAATCGCCCCTGAAAAGGAGTATATTGTCAGAGGCAACAGCCCCTTTCCCGGTGGGGGGGGTGGCTCTTCCGACCTTTGATACTCCGATGTGCGCATGACTGGTTCCCACGCAGCTGGACGCGGGAGATTGGAGGAGGCGATTCCCGGCAATTTGACCGATACAGTAATTGCAGGAGGAGTCTATCTGGCTGCGTCGGAGTGATGGTTCCTTATAAATTGCTTCAAGTGGAGTTCAGCTTCTCTTTTTACATGGGCTGATTTTCCTGACAGCAGCGCGGAAGTTATCTGCAGCTCCTTTCGCCTGCCCTGGATGACATATCTAATGTAGCCTTTAGCCCTGAGATTTCTTGGTGGTCTCCCATCCACATATCAACCTGGACTTTTCTTTCCCTTTTTTAATCAGTGTCTATTGCATTTTATATGTGCATAATCATTATTTGATAGTTGCCCAGCCATGTAATTTCTACATACTATTAACATATTTTTATGGTCTCATAAATAAATTGGTTTTCAGCTCTCATAAGCCCCAGATATGGTTTTTGTTTTCTGCCTGCAAGAACATAGACATTACAGTTCTGTTGGGCTGTTCATTGAGGCTTATAAGTGCTCTTGGTTGAATCTTCTATTTTACATTATTTTTAAAATATACCTCCCTTCAGGAGTTTATCTAGCCGCCTTGAAAGATGGTAGTCTTCAGTATAAATGTCCTCATCGTACTCCAACAGCTTCATCTCTAGCAAGTTTTGGCTAGCCTGTTTTTGTATGTTCAAGACCAACATGAAAATTATTAAGTCTTTTTGTTTTTTTACTTTGAGTAATGTGAAGGCTATCAAGCTTGCATGTTTAGTAAGAATAATCAATGAATGCTCCCATATTTGTGTTACAAAAAGCCAGATGACTTTTTCAGTATGTCTCTGCTGCTATCTAGGTCACATCCAGATTTTATTCCCCTAGATATGTAGCCATACCAATGTTTTCTTTTTCCATATAGAAGCTCCCACTACACATAATGTGCTTATATCTGTCCATCAGGTGTATCAGCTGATTCCTTCTTCCACTCTTTTACATTGGCGAGCTCTGCTTTTAATCTACAAGTTGCTACCCCAGGGGTAAGTAAATGTAAGTGTTCCATGTTAGTTTAAGTAGGTGATGAAATACCATAGATTCTTCCCCAGACAAGATGGTTAAAAGAGGGGAAAGAAATAATTGTTACAGGAAATAATGGCCTTCAGTAATGGACTTAGAATGGAATGTAATCTGAAGTTGCAGTGTTCCAAACTAGGCACCTACAGGTAACATTGACTTGCTGTAAGGGGACGAGTGGAAAATAAATTTTATCCCCCATTATTTTCATATATTTATTTTTCTCTTTCGTTTCCATATGCAATTTCCTAGAGGGGGCTCAAAATACAGGAATTGGTAAATGCATTGCTTTATTAAAAAGCAACTAAATCCAGCTAAGCTCTTTAAGAAGAGTGCAAGTTGTAAATGTACAATATTTTTTGGAGGTGTTTGTGTGTATTGGCCAGTATTTCCATTTATATGAAAAATGATGTCTTCATTTAGTACCAATAACAGTTTGTTTACTTCATGGAGACAGGCTATTTTTTCCCCAAATATTTTTTGTTTCACTAAATGTTTATCCCAAAGTCTTATTAAATGTAGATGCATTAATTGGGCTTTACTGTTGTAGGGGAAGCCAATTGATTTTGTTGGGGTTAATGAAGCAAACATGCGTTGGATCCAGGATTTCCGTATGAAATCCTATGCAAATCCAGCCAAGTTGGAATCAACTGATGGTGAGATATTTTTTGATTTGTGATTGGGTGCATCTCCCTTTGTTACCTCACATTAATGGTCTTTTCAAGTATCTAGATACATTTCTACCACATATTGCATTTTAAAATAAAGATAATTTAAATTGATAATCGAGTTGCCTTGAAGCTATTATTGTTCCATTTGCATTTTTAGGAGGAAAAGATAAAGTTTGTTCTCGAAGCTTTGATTGTTCTTATAGTTCAGACCCAATAAAACCCATGGTTTCATATTTCCCCTTGACATTATTTAGGAGTTTGTTTTCACCTTTATCTAACCAAACTTAATTAATGGTGTCTTTTAAATTATTATAATTGAGAGCAATTTATAATCAAACTAGTTTCAGATTCTGTTTTGTTTTCAGAACAGGTAGTACAGATTCGAGACATTAGGCCAGTGATGGCTAACCTTTTTGTTGTCACGTGCCAAAAGCATGTGCACACCCATAATGCGATGCATATTTAACACTCCCCATGCACGCTGCCCCCCCCTGCATATGTGCACGCGACCCCCTGCGCATCTATGAACATGTGCCTCCCAAAAATTAGCTGGCCCCTGGAAGGTGTGTGCGCATGCGCGATGGAACTCA